CGGCTAATTTTTTTTTATTTATTGTGGAGATGAGGTCTCGCCAAGTTTCCCAGGCGGGTCTTGAACCCTTGGGCTCAGGAAATCCCCTCACCTCAGCTGCCCAAAGTGCTGGGATTACAGGCTGAGCCACCACGCCTGGCCAAGAATATTTATTTTTGATGGTAAAATTGTTTTAAATACATGGATATGGTGTGTATTGAATTCATGATTATAGTTACTTTTAGGAGGGAGGGAAATGAGATGGTAGAGAGGAACACTGTGAGTCTCAATGGAATCAAAAACATAGTATTTCTTCATAAGACATATCTGAAGAAAATATGACATCAGGTTAGGATTTCACATGGCTACAAATGGCATATTCCGTGTTTTAATCCAAATTTGAGATATCTCACCCTAAAATAAATAAAACAAACACCCACAAACTTATTTTTCATAACTTTTCCAGAATAGATGAAGCAAGATATACTTTAATATCATGTGACTTTAAGTTATTTCATATTAGGAATTCTTAAAAAATTGCTAAATTCAGGTGAGGTGAGGTGGCTCACGCCTGTAATCCCAGCACTTTGGGAGGCTAAGGTTAGAGGACTGCCTGAGCCCAGGATTTTGAGATCAGCCTGGGCAACGTGGAAGGATCCCATCTCCACAATAAATTAAAAATAAATAAATAAATAAATAAAAAGTTAACTGGGTGTGGTGATGCATGCTTGTAGTCCCAGCTATTCAGGAGGCTGAGGTGGAGGGATCACCTGAGCCCAGGAAGTCGAGGCTGCGATAGCCATGACTGAGCCACTGCACTCCAGTCTGGGTGACAGAATGAGACTCTGACTCAAAAAAAAAAAAAAAAAGTTTTGTTAAAGTCTCTACTCAGAGATAAGATCAGTCTTAAAACCAGCATGGAATAACTTCAGTTTATTATATGTTTAATGATGCAAGATTTCTTTTGTTAAAAGAAAAGTTGTTGGGACCAAGTTGAATACATCAGAGAGTAGACACTCCAAAATGGGTGTTATTTAAGGTGAGACAAGAGGCCTGAGATCTCTCTGGAAGGAGACAGTAGCTGGGAATGGTGGATACTCTGAGAAAAGGCTCTGGCAGACTTTGGAATCAGACATGGGAGCTTCCTCGGTTGTTTTTGTACCATGGCATGCTCCCCCTGGCCTAAATAAATCAGCAGTAAAGAGGGACACTGTCGTGTCTGGTCACAGGCAGGGGTTACTGGCAGATGGATTTAGGTCTGAGTGCTGGTTCCTCATTCATGACCTTGGAGTCTCCATTTCCACTTATGTAAAATAAAGCTCAATAACAAGCACCTGCTTCACAGAGCTCATAACATCTAAGATAGCCTAATCAGTGGTGAATAGGGGATCAAAGGTACATAATTCTAGAAAGCTAGGTAATCTCCAGCTGAGGTAGGCTGCGAGATAATACATAGTACTTCACTGATAGAACACCCAGAAGTCTCTTCTTCCTACTTTTTTTTTTCCTGTGTTGGTGTCTCACCCTTCACTCAGGCTGGAGTGCAGTGGCATAGTCATGGTTACCCCAGCCTTGACATCCTGGGCTCAGGTGATCCTTCTGCCTCAGCCTCCCTTGTTGCTGGGACTGCAGGTGCACACCACCATGCCATGCAATGAAAAAAAAATTTTTTTTCTTTTTTTTTTT